CGACCACCACCTGCACTTCGTCCAGAAATACCACCTGCAGCCGCTGAATTACAAGTGAACATAAATCCCCCAACGAAAATGGAAGTCCTGAACGCCATAAAGCTACTGAAATGCGGGAAAGCAGCAGGACCAGATGGAATACCGCCAGAAGCACTGAGAACAGATGCAGAGACAACAGCGGACATGCTCACACCACTATTGCAGAAGGTGTGGAGGGAAGAGAAGGTACCTGACGATTGGAAGAAGGGTTACCTTGTCAAACTGCCGAAGAAGGGAGACCTCAGTGCTTGCAAGAACTGGCGAGGAATCACTCTCCTATCCACCCCAAGTAAAATATTAAGCCGCATCATCCTGGAGAGGCTTAAAGACGCACTGGATTCAAAACTGCGACCGGAACAGGCAGGCTTCAGGAAGTACAAATCATGTGCTGACCAAATTGCAACGCTTCGTATCATCATAGAACAGAGCGTAGAATGGCAATCAGCTCTATACCTCAACTTCATCGACTTTGAGAAGGCCTTTGACAGCGTCGACCGAGAAGTAATTTGGAAACTGCTTCAATACTACGGAGTACCGCAAACCTTTATCCGCCTCATTCAACAACTATATGAAGATGCCACATGCCAAGTAATCCACAATGGGAAGCTCAGTGATGCCTTTGAAGTGAAGACAGGAGTGAAACAAGGTTGCCTACTATCCCCCATGATATTCCTAATTGTGGTGGACTGGATCATGCAGCAAACAGTAGGCAGCGAGAAGAGGGGGATACACTGGACGACGGAAAAGAACCTAGAAGACTTGGATTTCGCCGATGACTTATGCCTAATGTCACATAAACTTGAAGATCTGCAGGCAAAAACTAACAAGTTGACAGAGGAGGCAGCTAAGACGGGACTTCAGGTGAATATAGAGAAGACAGAAGTGATGAAGATACCGCACCACCACCATCAACAACAACAACAAACTCCAATCACCGTCAACGGTAGAAACTTGAAGGAAGTAACCTCCTTCACTTATCTAGGAAGCACTGTTTCAACTACAGGCGGGACGGACGAGGACGTCAAAGTGAGAATCGGAAAAGCAAGACAGGCATTCATTAGCCTGAAACCAGTGTGGAGATCTTCTGCACTCAGCATGCGGAACAAGATACGGATTTTCAACACCAACGTCAAGTCAGTGCTCTTGTATGGCTCAGAGACTTGGCGCGTCACGAAAGGCATTTCCAATAAACTACAGACATTCATCAACAACTGCTTACGCTCGCTGCTGAAGATCAGATGGCCAGAAAAAATAAGCAACAAGGAACTCTGGGAACGAACCAACCAAGAACCTATCACGCAACAAATATGCAGGAAGAAGTGGAGATGGATTGGGCATACACTGAGAAGGCCGACTGAGGACATCACGCGTCAGGCCCTCGAGTGGAATCCCCATGGGAAGCGACGAGTTGGACGTCCGAGGGTGACATGGAGGAGGTCGTGCGAGGAGGAAATGAGAGCTTCTGGGCTGTCGTGGAACCAGGTTCAAAAGATCTCAGAGAACAGAGGTCACTGGAGGCGTGCTACTGAAGCCCTATGTTCCACTAGGAACCCAAGGGACTAATAATAATAATAATATTACTATGACAAAGTTGATATTTATGCCTACCCTTTTCTTCAGACTCACCACTCCACTTTAAGTATATAATAAGGTATTGTCTTGTACAATCAATCACTTGCTTACAGTATATTTTCACTGAATATTTTCTGTCTTTTTAACACTGATATTATACCAGTATGATAGCTTATCACTCTTCTCAAATGGTCCAATAAAAAATTATTATTGAGTTGCTATTCTGTAAGGATTTAATGATTGATTGATTTCAATGTAATTTTCATCACATCAGTCAGAAAACTATTGCAATACCTTGGAGAACTGAACAACTATTTGATCCTAGTATGAGACTCATTGACGGTATGCAGCTATAACTTGAAGAGGAGTTAAGTCCATGACCATCTTGTCTCTTAATAACCATGTTATCAATAATTCAACAAGTTGAAATCAAATGCTCCATTATTTCTTACTTCTACTACTAATTAGTGATATAGTGTGACCATCATTCAATGCAAGTGAGATGATGCTATGCCTTGTGGACAAGTTTCAAGACTAGGATGGAATAGATGTTCAGTATCCCCAAGTTTTTCAAGGTACTCCAGTTAATAGCGATCCATGCTGGAGTATACCTTAAAAATGAATACCATGTGTGTGAAGTATGCTAGAGATCTATTTATTAATAATGGCTATTATGCATGATAATTTATATCAAATGATTAACCTCAACATTATTGTTTTCCTGCACAAAATTTGATTATTTTTTTTTTTAATTCAGTGTATCCATTTGATCAATTTCACGAATACTGAAATGAATTTGTTTTTTTTTTCGATCCTACCCAATACTACTACTACTACTATTCTAGATTGTATATTTGATTTACGAACCAAAAATTTTCACACTGATTTAATTCGTATCATGATTACATGAATGGATAAAAGTGGAAACAATCAGCTAGTATGGTACAATCATTTGTGGTCTACTTCTTACTAACGTGTTTCTGATATATTACAATTAAGTTATGAAGCTATTCAGTAGAATATGCTCTAATTTTGTGACTCAAATCAATAATTCCTATTGCAATATATGATAACTTTTAGGTTCTGAGAAAGTGTTGAGGACTGATATTTGAGTTAATCAATATCTCATTATGCTTTAAAACATGGTATGCTTTTTCTCATGGGAACATGATCCATATTCATATAATTAACATCATATACAGAGGAAATAGTAATCATGTTTCTGTATTAAAATCTCCTATATTCTTTATGGCTACTGGATAACACTTCGACGTTTAAAGCAATGGGTACTGGGTTTGAGTCTCCGTGGTAACACCGTGACTTACTAGGATGTAGGTACATTCGGCTGACGAGTCACAGATGGGACGAAACGGGCATCTTAGGTTCCACTGTGTTAGCCACTAACTAACCGATAACATTTATGCCTCCATATCTGTTTAATGATATTTTGTATAAGGCCATACTGAGGTACAATGAGGAGAGGTGAATAAAAAGATATAGGCAACACTAGTCGTAATTGTAGTCAGTTAAACTGATGTAATGTAAAATCTTGAGCTTGAATCCTTCAGTTCACTTTGCTACATCTGGAAATATCATAGACATGGATAGGATAAGTGAACGTAAAATAGTGACGATAAACATCAATAAAACGTGTACCTGTATTTATTTTCATGAAAAAAGATTTCGAGGATAAACTGAATTCATCTCGATTATTCCGTTTTTCTTCAGCTGTACGCGTCTAAAGTATCTACGAATTAAGTTGAAATGTAAAAACAGTAGTACATTATTGTGCTAGAATAGAAAAAAAAAGCAAGTTAAATGGAATTAAAGAAAATTATGCAAAGAATGTCAACAATACAGATGGTGATGATCGCGCTTGTTTTTAAGGAGGATTCTGGAGTTTTGAGTGGAAAGTGTAACTATTACAATTTGTCTAATTCAGCTCTATTTGGATTGGGACGAGAAGATATGGCGAGTCTTCCAGTTCCTACAAATGCACGGTGATGTACCCCAGATTCGCACTGCAGCCAGGAAAAACTCGATGACTGAAATGAAGTGAGTAGCTGGTCACCAGGAGGTTGCTGGTTTCAATGCTACTGCAATTCAGGTTTTCATTTCAGTCATCATTAATAATAATGATGATGGCAATAAAAACTAAATTTTCATACAGCAATACAGATGAATATTAGATTGCTCAATTCATTTAAAACCAAGGGGGGGGGATCATTGAGAAGTAGTGGAGAAAGCAAAGAAGGAAGGTTGTCAAGGTGACGCTATATTGGTCATTTTTCCCTCCTGTTCAAAACGATTAGCCTGAAAATGTTTTACTAGGAATCCAACGAAATGAAGCGAACCCACAGCGTGCGTTTCGTCCCATTCCGAAATCGTCTCACGGATGTACCCAGACCTCTCTGACGGGTGTTTTCCCCATCGACACTCGCTTCAAACACCAAAGCTTTATCCACTACGCCACTGGGACATGTGAGCTACCACTTTTAAAATGGGTATTAGTTGTTGTTTAGTGGTAACTGTGATTTCCTGTTCAACATCCGGCAGTATCGAGGCATCCACATGAAAGTGCATCTGCCAACAAAGGCTGAGCAATTTTCCCCTGTATAGCAACGAGAAATTATGAGTATCAATCAACAAAAAGAAAGCGAAACCAAATTTCGTTATAGGTTCATTGTCTTAAAAGTTGCTGTGTTCTGAATTAGTGAAATGAGGCACGGTTAAACTCGTAAATAACTGTGACCCATTCATCATCAGGTTGTTTATAAGATTCTTAGGGAAACAAAATGCGGGTCAATCATCCGATCCTTCTAATTTTACTTTCCTTGTTGTCCAGTAAATGCAACTGCATGCGCGATATCAGATAGCTACTAGTTCATCTCTATCTCCAGTATCAACCAATGTAGTTACTTTAGCAAGAAAAATAAAAATAATTACCAGGAAGTAACTGTATTGTTGAATTTTACACTTTCAGTACTTCAAACTGTAATTTTTCATATACCCAATATCATTCACGTTTGATCATGAGTTTGCTCAATACTTAGTGTGAATTTAATGAATCACTTCTCAAATACACTACTATGTAAAACATTCTTAGTTCATAAGATCCACTGTAAGCATACAAACTACACATGGTTTGTGTGCTAAGACTAACCCTCGTCCATTTTTTTTTCAAGTTCATCTATCTAAGAATTGAGAGCTGAATAGCTTGTTGTAGTTGTTAACTTCAGTAGCATTATTCAGTGTTTATGTGCTGAAAATTCATGTTAACTATAAAACAAGTCAACATGGATTTGGTTGTAACTGACTTATATTTCTTTCAATATTTTTCGCTTTGTTTTCATCTCTCTTTTCTCCTCCTATCGCCGCCTATAAAATAGATGCTGGTATTGAACTTGTGTTAACTGATCACTTTTGTCAACAACACTTTCTAATTGGCATTCTGTTCAATCAACTCAGCTGTTTATTATCGGGTTGTCTTAATACTGGCAGTTGGGCTTTATTGAAGTCTACATCACAACGTTATCGTCAACCAATCACAATTTTGCGTAATTTGTTAATTAAACATAGTCTTGATCCACGTTATCGTAATTCTAAGTCAATTCAAGCTAGAATCTGTTCATTATATCTGCCATTTGTTCGTTTAATGCTGGATTATTGTGATTCACTTGGACCTCCAGGTAACTAAAGATATTTATATACTGTTTTTATAAATTATTATTATTATTACAGACACAAACTGGGTTTGATTCTGAGCCATACCGGGTAGTGTTTCAAGACACTTGGTCTCAGGTTCGATCGGACCCTAGATAGGGAGTACTGAGGCACCAACGCATGTTAAGACAACTTTTCTTCATCCTATAGTGCTACTCACCACTTCTTTCCTATGGTTATCAAACAGTTAACGGTATTGCACTTGCTGGAACAACGTTGGTAACATATTTCTAAGCTACCGAAGGCAGTGAGTGTATCGAAATGAAACAGTTCAATCAGTTGCTAACCTTGCTGTTCTCAAATGCATGCACTACCGAACCCGACTGGCTGCCGGTAGTTCTACAGAGACAGTGGTGATCAAGTCATAGATTCACTCAAACATTTTCATCTCAGGAAGAGAACCGATTATTTATTAATTGGATTGTACATTATGAGACTTTGACCTTGTGTAATAAACAAGACTTTCAGCAAAAGCGTTTTCTCCTTTTCTTTCCTGTATGTGGCAGGAGAAACATTTGTATACCTTACACTTGGTCAGTAAATTCGTCACATGAACTTTCTATCCTTTGGATTTTTTTGAATTCACTTGTTATCCTCGAAGTTTATTTGCTTTAAATACACTAGTCCCTTACCTTGCCTTTGTTTTCTGTTTACAGGTGGTGCCCTTCAGACTGCTGTCATTGCGGCAGCTGTACGTCGAGATTATGAAGAGTCTTTATTAGTTACAGATGGAAATAGTAATTCTGGTACATTGAATTTATGTCGTCGTCAGCGTTCTATGGATAAGTCAAACAAAACTAACAAAGCTAACAGTGCTACTACTAATGTGATGTATAATAGTAGTATTTCACATCGACCACAAAGTATGCTTAGTGATTATTCATTGGAGACATTGAATAATTCTGATAGAAACCTACACGCAACAAATTCTGATAATGAATCATTTACTTCATTATTATCGGCAAATAGTGAAAGCAATGCATCATCTATTCACTCAGCGTCAAATGGACGTTTCAGTCATGGGAGATCTTCTTTGTCTAGTGGTAGCCATAATATTACTACTAATGATAGTAATAGCTATAGTCAGTCAGCTGCTTCTGCTGCTTACCTAACTAAAGATGGGAAAGTGCAAAAGCATATCTTAGATCAAATTGCCGGAGTTGATCAAGGTAAGAATAATGGTATGACATATCTAAGTAATTGAATACATGATATACACGAATTCGTTAGTTTAAATCAATAGCCTTTTTACTCGGCTATCAACCGTGTTTGAATATCATCTTTACTTACTTCGAACTCATTAGATGAGTAGCATTTTATTTGCTATCGATTTCTAGTTTAACGATGACTTAGTCTTTCGTTTTTTCAACTATGTGAGTACTGAAAGGAACTCTATTCCGTCCATCACTTCGATAGTGCTGTTGGTTGCCATACATTGGGTGTTTTTTTGTAACTTCAGTGCAGACAGATAGAATCATCGCACAACCTCGCACACAAGTGCATCGGTTCACAGTAGTACACAAAAAAAGATTTCCAGCTTTGTCACCAAGAATCCTCAACCACTGATTCCTATCACCTCATAGACTCCGACCAGACAGTCTACATCTCTCTACATGACTCACACGAACCATCAGGGAGTTCATTAACTGGTGCCACATCTTTGTCTGGCTACCCTGAACCCTCTTCCAACCTAATCAAACCTCGAGGTAGACGATGGCTCGGCATGCGCAACACATGTCCAAACCACCTCAGTCGACTAAAGTTCGCAGCTTCATTAATCCTCTTGCCTGTCTAGCACAATACCCTTCGCCTGACCTCGACATTGCTCACGTGGCGATTTTACTGAACACGAGAAATGATAAGAAGACACCTGTGATCAAAACCCTTTAATCGCTTCATGTCTTCTACTTTTAATAGCCATTTCTCACAGTCGTATAACAGTACTGAATGGACTGCAGTGTAGCATACTCATCGTTTGATAGATAGTTGGATATCCCGTTAGTCAGCACCAGGCATGACGGAAGTGACCAGATGCCATCTTGGCGTTTTGTATCTGACCTGAGATTTTGTCAGCAACCAGACCGTTCGGGTTGATGCCACTCCCCATGTAAGTGAAGTATAAAGAAATGCTACAGAAGAAGGGTTTGACTATTGGCGGTAATACCATCATCCATATCTCAATGTAAAGTTCCGAACCGCCTAAATGCATTTTGAACTTACAGCTAAGTTGGAATTATAAATGAACTCTGTTAAAATGTGTTTTACTACAAATATACTGAAGTTGTTAATGTATTGAATAGTGATTGGTTTTTATTTCTGCCTCCTTTTTCATTGTTTGTTTATCCTCAGGTGGTGCTCTTCAACGCGTCTACAGAAGTAATCGTGTACAAGATAACTCTTCAATATCAACTTCATCTGGAATAGGAGGAATACTGCCGAACAGTCAGTATCCACGTTCTCAGTCTATCCACTCTGTAGATGGTCAACAAAACAGTTGTCTACTATCCAGTCATACAAGTAGTAGTACACTTACATTGACTGGTGTTGATATGGATAATAACAATAATAATAATATGCTAATAATGAATGGAAGTAGTACTCCAGATGAAGAATATTTCGATGCTAGTCAGTTGAATTATAAGAATGGTGAGAATTTTCAAAAGCATCATAGTGAACTGTCACCAACACCTTTGACTTTGGAGATTAATTTACAAAGTAAATGGAATCCACAATTTTTCTGTTTTTAAGTATTAGTTTTGACTGGTAAATATTTCGAAATCATGCTACATGATATTATCGTTAATGGAAGCCATCGAGATCAGTGTGGGTAATTGTGATACTGCTCTCTGGATGGTTAAACTCTGACGGCAGGCAGATCAAATTTAAACACTTGCACTCAGCTACCTTATACACATTAGTGTAGTAGGCAGTGAGCCACATCTACTGTGAGAGGGTCAATGATATTACCGCCTGACTGCCCAAACTTCGGTATGTGGGGACAGTGTTCTAACTCGTGACCCATTGGTTGAAAATCAACTTCATAAGCCAGTGAACCACAGATCTAGAAATGGAAGCGTTTAACTCGAAGTGCAGTTAGACTTTGATATATATTCGTCTGTTGGAATGGGAATTATTTGTTATGTATACTTAATATATACATTGGAATGTGTGGAGTTTTAAAGCCTGAACACACAGTTGTTTAGCTAAGAATACCTTCATCATTATATATTAACTCAGTTCATTTATATGAACAGATACAAATAAAACATACTTTGTAAGCTTACATTTCAATGAATCAAGATAATTCTGAACGATATTTGACACTGTGAGACTGAACTTATAAAGAATCAATCTTCAATCATAAAATCATCTGATGTCACCAACTCCTATACGTTGGACACGTATACATCATATTTCATTCTAACAAGCATTATAGTATTGGTGTTAGGACTAACTGTGGAAAGATAATCACTTTGTGAGCGAGAGGGAGTGAGGTTCTAAATGTATGTTTGTATCGTACACTATAAATCAACAGAAATGGGGGTGTTTTTTCGCAGAGAAAATCTCTTATTTTGTTTCTCCTTAAATCAAGCTTCGCATATATTGCTTCATACTGAAACATGTTTCATCTCTTCATCTTTTTTTAATGCCTTCAATGAGTGACTTTCAACACAAACTAAACTGACCGCTATACTTTTGTAAGCTTTCATTCAATTCCAATTGGACATTGAATAGTTGTTTTTTTCCTCATTATTACTGATATTATAGATTCAGATCAAGATTGGGCTAAACAAGTTCTTACACTGGCTGGTGTTTATCAAAATTGTGACAATAGTGTGAAGTCTACAAAGCAGGCTAGTCCAAATGCAGTGTCCACACCTGTTGAACTTCCTTTAGAGGTTAATATCTCTGAGATTGAGTAAGTATATTTCTTGTATCAGGTGTTAAACTCATCTTTCAAAGCGGTTTACTTGTACCTGGATGTGAATGAGTAGATTTGTTTCCATTGATTTGAACTTGTTTGTTTCAGGAGAACTGAAGCAATACACATCAAAACAAACATATAAGAAAATTATGTATTACACCATGAGACATTGTATCACAGTTGAACATTGAACAAGATTGAGTATTATGCGGGGGTATTTAACACCTTAACCACTAACTCATAATCCTGAAAGGAGTAGTTTGTTTTTCTCTTCCATATTCGATTAGTTTGCTTGATATAGCACACAGCAGCGGTACGGTGTAATTTACTGGTTGACATTTTGAGCACAGTTTATTTCTCATGATCGTACCGCATAACTTTTTTACCTGATGTTTTGTAGTTCTACTACTCTTCATTCTTCGATTTGACTAGTAATGGGTGTTGAATCATTCTGACTACATATGATAAGCTTTGAATCGATGATCAGAGTTGTAGTGATGCAGCTTCCTCTGCTTTGATCCATAGGACTATCACTGTCCCAACCTATTTTGTGGTTGCGGATGGAACAGAATTAACAGTCCGGAAGACTAATGGAAAACTTTTCTACCAATTAAATCAAATGAATAAAAGTAGTAGAACCACTTTCAAAAAAAACTTAGATAGGAAATTTGGTGACCACCTTGATAACATAAATTCGTATTACGCTATACCACCATGCCTAAATGTCTATACTTACATTACTTACGTTTTTACTTTTCAACTGGTTAGGAAAATTGAAGTGGAAACTTGTTGATTTCTTGTCGAATAACTTTGAGGATTAGTTAGAATCTATGGATTGAGTTTATTATGTAGCCACTGAGATAAATGGTTCAGCATCATTGAGAACAATATTTTTTTATTAATTAGTGCTTGAACAGTATCAAAATAAAAGATGGACAGCTATTTTGTCCTAGTATGGAACTCCTTGACAGTGCGCACCTATGTCTCTTTGCCAGGGATCGAACCCAGGTTCTCAGATCTTCTGTAACTAATGTCAGTCCATGATGAATATCTACTTGAAAAGGATTTATGCCTAAGTTTTCACCTGATTGTCAGGTGAACATAAAAAATTTCACGTGATTGTTTGTCATACTAATTTTCCACATTGAGGTGAAGTCAAAAGGAGGAAAAACGAAGAAATATGAGTATTTTGAAGGTTTTGATATACATGAGGTGCTGTTACACTTATATCACTGCAATGAATGCTGTGCTGTATTACCTAACTACTTCGACCACCAATATTGGTTGTCTCAGAAAACCGAAGCAGAAGGTTTTTATCTTCCTCTCCGAGCTAGACAAACAGTTATACCTTGGTCTGATGGCTGTCAACCTTTCTAGGACTCAATACTTCTCCAACTGATATACAGCATTGTGATAGACAGTTGTTAAGCATGTCTAACTCTTTCTTACTAATACTCCACGTCTAACTTTTTCACTACTCATATCTTAGAGTTTCACCGCGATTGGGCATCATATGGAACACAGTAGGGATCAAATGCTTTAAGCCTGAGTGTTATTTGGTAGCTACCAGTTAATTATATTTGAAACCTTTAGGAGATTGACAATCCCTAATAGATCATGACAAGCATCAATCACTTTATAACTCAACCTGGTGTATTTTTACCTACTAGACTACGAGTCACACTTGTTGCATAAAGGATCGTGTTACTACTCGGTTGCCTACGCCGAATTAGACGGAGTGCGGGTCGAACCCAAGAATAACTGCCTCTAAGTCGAGGTTTGTCTTCACCATCAATCACTGGCTCATAGATCTGACCAGAGCTTCGGTTTACTGTCTACTAGTTTGTATACTGGAGTGTGAGTTATAACTATTGTGAATGTGGTCGTTTACTGTTACTTAACTACAAGTATGTGGATTTAGGCTCATTTACTTGTGTTTCATATTGGTTGTCTTCATCGCTGGTGAGTCATGTATCCAAAGTGATTTGGGTAATTGATTGTTCTATGTAGGATCAAAGTTAAGCATTAGGAATCATGAAGCGAAATTCGTTGCCCCACTTACTCTTCTTCTTCAAGCTCAATCCAGGAAAATTTATGAATACTCACTGTTATCATCATTGAAGCAGTGGTCAGTAAACTTGTTCTAGTTTCATTTTCTTTGTTCTGTTCTTATTATTTGGTGACTGGTTTAGGGAGTCGTTAGTTCTATTCAGCATAATTTCCAGAGGTTTTTATAAAATGATACTATATCAAGTTCCCAGTTGTGTTTGGCGTTTCACTCCAATTTTTGGCTGAGCTCAAAGTTTCAGGTAGTTCTTCAGATATGTTGACTTTCCAACACAAACCTGGTGGATCAGTCTGCTTGCTGAGCAGGAAACATTCAAGCAAAGCATCCACATAGAAACAAACACTGCTGCCTGAGCATTTTATTAACGCCTACCCACCTCAAACTGATAAGTATTATCCCAGAACCTTCCCAACTATCAGGCTTCAACTCATCCATATTCTCTGAATGCTCTGCTTGCTGACCGTACTCTCCTCTCCATGAGTAGAGGTATGTAAGACACACCCCACTGAATTTTCCACAGACTTACGGACCTAAGTGCAACTCACCTTCCCGAAAAGGCATTCCACTAGGAGACCTCACCTTCTAACCTATGGTGCCGAAAGATTCACAGCAATGGCTCTCTTCAGGCTAGGACTAGCGAAACCGACATTCCGGACCAAGTATTGCTCCTCTTCACAAGGTAAAATCACGATTCTCTATGGGAATCCCTAACAATGACTACCGAAATTGGCATATTGGATTCATCTTACCTTTTGGTTACACTGCTCCTGGTACATTGGGTAAATACCTGATGGTTAAAAAAGCTATCCGTGCTTGGGAGCACCGTGCCATTGATCTTGTGAATACGGATCTCGCTGACTGCAGTTTTCGCCAAGTCGTTTTGACAGTGTGTTGGTTGGTATCCAGCGAGGCCGCAAAAAGGCTCATCGTCGTAAGCATTTAGACTCGACCCGTTTCGCGAGATAGCAATATGAGCATAACAACACTCAACCACCCACTTTCTTCAGAAAATGTTAATGATTGGATACAACATTTACACATAAATACTGGCAACTTTTCACCTTATCCAACGAAATGTTACAAACCAAATGAGAGGTCTACGTATATGGTAGATGAAGAAATAGTTATATATATATTTAAACATAAGGCGATAAAGATGTGGGAAAGTAAAATTTCTTTTAAATGTTTAGATGAGTGTCAAGTTAAACTTGGAAGGTTAAGCAACAATCAGACAGATCTAAAGAGCAACATCATTGTGAATGTGTATGTCAACACCTATAATTACTTTAAAACCATGTCTTTTTTGAATTGATTTTCTTTAGGCACCTTACAGAACGTCAAGGGAACTCAGTCTCTGGTAATCCCCTGGATCATCCACACAGTCATCATCTATCTCATCAATCTAGTTTCCAGAAAATATTTCTTCCTGACTTGCTGTTAACTAAAGACCAGATCATTCGACCGCATGTTCATCATCGTCCATGTGAACAGAACAACTCAGGTCCACGTCGTTTAACAGATAATTGTCAAAGAGACTTGTATATATGCTTATTGCATATACTGTCTACTATAACAGTCACACATTTAAAAGTATTACTGCAGAGTTTCACTGTACAGGAAAGATTACGTTTTTTGAATATATTAAAGTGAGTTTGGTTGCTTTTCTGTATGTATGCATCTAACTGAATAGTTTCACGTGTATTTACCGATCATATTATTAGGTTTTGGTAGTAATGAGTGATAGTAGTTGGCAACGATATTCCGGACGTTCGTTTCGTCCTATTTGGGGCTCATCAGCTCTATCTACCTTCCCCCCAGTGGGCGGTGTTGTTCCCACAAAGACTCGAGCCTGAAACTGATCGCCTCAAACGTCATAGCGTTATCTACTAAGTCACGGTAGCCAATGCTTGTGCTTTTGTGTTGTTGGTTGTAATTTTCCGTCATTGATTCGACTATATTTATTGATCTCCATTGGCATATGAGCTCCTGTGCGGATGCCTTGATATTGCCTGTCGTTTAAATTTGGTAGTAGTGATGAATAGTGACTAGGAATGACGAGTCCCTAATAAGACGAAACGTGCTGCCTGGATTCAGTTGCTAGCCACTATCCATCACTACTACTAAACTGAAACTACGAGCAATAGTGAGACATCCGCACAGAAGCCCATATACCAATGGAGACTAATCAGTTTGGTCCAAACAACGACGGGAAATTATAATTAATAGCATAAAGGTTAATAGGTTTTCTCTTCAGACTGTGTATAAAGAATAGTACTCAGCCGAGTGAAACTGAGACTTCGAAGAACATCACTTATAAGTTAGAGGAATTCATTTTAGAGAATCATCATGGTTATAAATTATCATTACTCTTAAATTTATAGTTTTGCGTTACGATTGTAACTTTTCCATTTGAAGTTGTCAAATCAGCGGCATTCAATAATCTTTTTGGATATATACCCAACAGTTATAAGCTGTTTCATCGTACTTTTTATAAGTAGTATGCATAAAATCCATGAAGTCACTGACTTTTAGTCTGAGTCGCATAAAGAAATGTAAACTTCCCAGTTGGAGTACATATGACAAGCGAAACCGGTGTTAGCAGACTGCATGTTAATATCGCTCAGAATCAATCTCATTAGTGCAGACACATTCTTACTTTATCGTCATCTGGATCGTTTTACCCGATCTTACCATTACATCTTTCTCTCTTGCTCTCTTTTCATGACCTTCTACCACTTTTGACAACTTTCTTTTTTCTCTATCTTTCATTTTGGTAGTTTTTACCATGATGTATTGATATGAGGTGTGGTAACGTAAACCGATACACATTTATGCCAGATCTTGCATTCATGCCTATTGATTGATTGAAAACTGGGAGTAGTGCACAGGTAATAAACGTAGTTTTGTTGTTAAAAGGTATAAAATGTACCTTTGCATATTTACGGATATTGAAACCCCTGATGAGAACGACTTAAAGCATACTGAGCATGAACTGACCCGCATAACGTAACAAGTGTCACCAGAATACGCGTATGGAGTAAAAGATACGAGCCCTAGTCAAGGGTAAAATGCTAGTTGGCTAACTAGCAACCATACTCAACGTTTGACTATCGTGTTGGAAAAAAAAAGTTTTTCGATAAGCGTAAAAATGTGCATCTTCGTTATTATTTATTTTTAAATTTGTTTGCTACCTATCTGTTTGGTTCAAATCTCCTTCTGGTAACCATTGTTTTATTTTTCTTCAGATTCTGCGTCCAACATCTTCGTTATCGTGGGAGACACTGTATACAACAATATGAGTAAGCTGTTAACTACAATTCAGATGCATTTTCTTTACCACTGTTGTAAATATTTAGGTATGTGTTGTATTACTTATTTTTATACAGTAGTTAAGAATACCTACACAAATTTTCAAACTACTTACTTGTGCAAAGTAGTTATTTAATGAATTTTTTCTTTACATTGTGTCACTTACTTGCTCTAGGCACATAAGCCATAGTGGTGTTGGTCGAACTGGTGGTACTGGTAATCTGTTAAATATCAGCAGTGCTTTGGCTAGTAATGCTGCTGGTCGTAGAAGAACTAATCCTGTAAGTAGGAATCTACAACATGACATACCCAAGAAAAATTCACATGAAGTAACTTCTGCAGAAACTGTTGAAGATGTTCCCAGTGAGTTCTTTTGTTGATTTTTTATTCAAGGAAAGATAATGTGTTTTTTAGCTTCTTATGTCTCTACAGAATACTTTTTTGACATATGACACATACTACCTTCCTGCATCGACAGAGGTTCGCCACTTTTACCTAAAACTCTACACCTGACTTCTGCGCTGATGAAGAAGATTAGGTGTGAGTCCCCTTCTTGGTGATTGATTATACCCCATTTTGGCAAATCTCTAACGGCCGATTCCTTATATCTTGAAGATTTATCATCTCTTCACGGTTCGAATAAGCAATTACTGGTAGCATTTTTCTAATTCCATGTCTGCACGACATCCTTCTGCTGCTAGTGCTAACATTGATACAGTGAACCGGAAATCATGAGAAAACCATAGGACGTTGAGCACCAATATATATTAACCATAATTAACGTTGATTGGTTGCTGGAGGGCAACCAACTTCACGTTGCCTAGTTCTGAGTGCTGATCGAATTATACCAACCATCTTGCAACGTCGTCCCCAGGCTAGTTAACTCAGCATCGCGATGCACGTTGATAGATCCTAGTTGGTTTGAAGCAATCTGCAGGAACCCAGGCTAGACATAGGTGTCGTGCATGTTAGCACTTGTCAACAAGGCGTCCTTGAAATGTAACCTATATTAATATTTCGCCCGAGATTCAACCTCGCGTCACTCAGCGTTGCGGTCAGGGACATTACCACTGAGCCATTTGAATCCAGATCAGTATCCTATCCTATAGATACATTGATTACTAATCCATTCTTCCATCCAACTAATATCTATCAATATGCATGGCGATGAGGAGTCTTCTAGCCTGGTGACCATATTTCAAAAATGATACGTGGAATTCGATCACCACTTGGGACTAGACAACATAAAGTTGACTAATCAATGTGCGTTATCCAATCGTATAGGATGTGGGTGACGGTCCGAATAGCTCACCGATAATGTCTCTGGGTGCAATAATTTATGGGCATACATCATTCTCTAAACCTTAATGCACTTTTATTTCCATTCATAAAGTTTCATGCAATCAACTCTCACTGAATTTTTTCCCTTTTCTTTCTTTTAAAACATAGAAATGAAGGTTTTATTAAAAGCAAATTTAGCAAATGAATCAAGTTTAATCATATTGGATTTGTTAAGTACTTTTGCAACAGTATTTAAAGTAAGTTCATTTTTTGCAAATAATTAATTTTCGCTTTTTGCGGCTTTGCCTATAATAACGAGAATCACGTGTATTGATATGTTTGTTTGTTAATTATCCTATCAAGAGTAGATTGTAGTGATGGTAGCAGTAATTGAGAGAGGTAGTATCTGTTTTATTATGTATATTATGAATATTTATGGAATGGTTTTGAGGTTTTAATTGTATAAGTTGAAGAGTAAGGTTTGTTCGTTTGATTTTTGGATTCCTTTTGTTGTGATGTTTGTATATGAGTGTGGCAAATAGTATATGTAGTATAATGTTAAAGATGCCTGGATGTGCTGGAGTTACCGGGAGTATGAACCAGAGAGGTATTCTGATATGTGGTGATGTACCGTACCAATTCTATTACAAGAGTCAATAATCCGGATTTGTATCAACAGGCTTTAACGACATTGTAAAGATATCCTAATTATCTTGATTCAGTAAGTATACAGTGCTTTGGATTATGATGAGATTCATATATTTCCGTATAATTAGAAATAACCAGCTGAGTGTACATAGATCTCAGATTTTTATTCCCATTAACCCTCATTTGTGTCAGATGTCACACAAAATTGAAGATCTACAGGCGAAAACTAACAAGTTGACAGAAGAGGCGAGGCAGCGAGGTAAGACGGGACTTCAAGTGAATATAGAGAAGAGAGAGATGATGAAGATACCGCACTAACAACTCCAACAACAACAACAAACTCCAATCACCATCAACAGGAGATACTTAAAGGAAGTAGCCTCCTTCACCTACCCAGTCTAGGCAGCACTGTTTCAACTACAGTCGGCACAGGCATAGATGAGGACGTCAAAGCCAGCCAGGATCGGAAAGACAGCAAGACAGGCGTTCATTAACTTGAAACCAGTGTGGAGATCTACTCCACTGAACTCAGCATAAAGTATGAACAACATCCAGATTTTCAACACCAATCCAGTCAAGTCAGTGCTTCCATGTAATGGTTAAGAGACTTGGAGTGTTACGAAAGTGATTTCCAACAAACTACACACATTCATCAACACCTGTCGCCTACGCTCACTCGATAGTGAAGATCAGATGGATTGCCAGAATAATAAGAATAAACAACAAGGAATTCTGGCTGGCTGGCTGGCTAGCTAGCTAGCTAGCTAGCTGGCAACGGACCAACCAAGAACCTATCATTCAACAAATATGCACTGGAAGGAAGTGGAGATGGACTGGATTGGGCATACACTGAGAAGATCATTCGGGGACACCACGCGCCAGACCAGGCCCTCGAGTGGAGCCCAGACGGGAAATGGCGAGTTGGGCATCCGAGGTGTTGTAACATGGAGGAGATTGTGCGAGGAGGAAATGAGAGGTTGTGGGCTGTTGTGGAGCCATGTTGAAAAGATTTCAGAGAAAAGAGTGCACTGGAGACGTGCTACTGAAGCCCTATGTTTCATTAGGGGACCAATAATAATAATGTTAACCCTCATTTCCCAAACGAACAGGTAAAATAAGTTTAGAAATTAAAGCAAAATTCCAAAACTATTACAACCCAGAATTTTGATGCGAAACAATTTAAACTACTTGTCTATTTTTAAGTAGTCTCGTATTTTCATTCAACATAAAAAAACTTTTTTGTGTTTTGCATGGGAGTAATCGAAATATGTTTAGTGGAAATCGATGTTTAACAACAACAATGACAGTTTGAAATGAACCATATTAACCATAAATTCAAATTAAGGTTGAACTATAACATTAGTATTCTTGGTGTAGTTTTAAAACAAAGAAGACGTAATAGTCAATAGTTGTATTTCAGTTTTTCTTGTTTACCATTCCGATGATTGGTTGTCGTCTTAGTCACTTTCAATTAACACACTATGTAAAAGAGCTTGTAAAGGAAAATTGATAATTTCTTATTCATTGTAATAATTGGGGGGCTTATGTTGTGCATTATTAATCAAAGATGCACATTCGAAGAGAAATATGCTCAACTTTCAACTTAAGTTCAAGTTATCTTTGCTAGGTTTTAATTGTTTTGGGTTCATGCGGTTCTATCATATCATTTCACTTATTTAGCCTGATTTCTCCTTGTGGGACTGAATTCAACCTCCAAGTATCTTGACTAGTGTATACAATACTGAGTCCCAAAGATAACTATGATTAAAACAATGTTAGCTCGGCTATGGTATTCCGACCGTTCCTATGACAACTCGTTTATAGAAAAGAATAAAATGCGACCTAAACAGCAGTGTTATGGAATATGAACTTGTCATCTGAGTTACATTTGTGTACATCACTAAATAGCAAAAACAATAACAGCGTTCAACCGAAATGGACTATCAAACTCACAACTCTTTTCCTTCTAATGATGTATAGGTCGAAAAATTCCCCACTAAGGCAGGCAGGTATAGTTTGATCCCTAAAGTCATCTTCCTACAGTCATCTCTTAAAAAAGGGAGTAATGACAGTAGCTTGTCTAATTACAATTCACAGTAAAATGCTACAAATCCTTGGGTTTTTTCGCTATTGTTAGAATGTACAACGATATGTTCATTAGAACTATGTTTCTTACATCTTTCCAGTGGGTGTATATTTCTTCATATTGTTTAGTTGTTCACTGAGCTAGAATTTCTTTCTGCAAACGTTTCAGTGTCACGCTAGACATCGTCATCAATCCTTCTTAAGAAGCTAACCAAAAACTTAAACCAGTGGAAAATGCACTGTAGACATCCAAATACAAATATTTTTCCCCTCTTCTGTATCTCCACCACTTAGTTTCAGGCTTTTATCGACATATCGCTGCCTTAGGTGTAATAATCGTGAGTAGCTTTGATTTTATTATTTTATTTCATTTATTCTGTAGTTATTCCTTTGCATACATCCGTATTGATTATTTTCTTTGCTGTTTTTTCCTTTCATTTATGTACTATCATCGAACTGTTCACTGTACCTTTTAGTCAGAGTTGAATAATTGTAAGCCAAGTGATCCAGTGTTTCGATGTTTACTTGAAACCTACATTGTAATTCTATCCAATAATCCATCGGATCATGTAATACGACACACATTTTCTGCTCTACGTGTATTTACTAATCAAAATGCTCAGGTAAGAGAATTATTTTTATGTGCTTTGTACACACTACGTTGATACAAAAGTGAAAGGCAATTGCAATAACTATATTATTGAATGTTGGAAGGATGTATGTTTCTTTTTTAGCCAGATTTAAAAGAGGTCGCATTTTTCATGTATCTACTTACGATTAAAATCTCTGTGACAGTGTCCTCTTGTAACTGCAAGTAACGCACAGAGACATTATGAAGATGTCTAGATGAGGTGACGAAACTGGATAATTAACTCACAGATTTTGATACTGATAAACTGAGCATGATCGAATAATGGCTATCTTTGAAACCGGATTCAATAAATGGGTTGCCGGTCAACTGTTTATTCAACGATAATCTGGCTTCCAAGATAATTAGTGAAATTCAGTCACTTCTGCATCAGAGATGTAGCTGAGATATGATAACTTTCAGCGATTTATCAAATAACGAGTGGGGAAAGTTGGCAATTAGTGAGGTTATAATGTAAAAGGATGGTTTTTCTATTTCCTCACAAGATTGGCAACTGCCAACGATGGATGGATGAAAAACTGAAATACAACTTACCTGATCTTCAACTGCTGTTTGGTCACTGGTTATTCAGTCTTCAATGCCAGCAAATGTTGAGAAGGCTTTACTTGACCTCAGATAAGAAAGGATAATGAATCCTGACCTTATAAGAAGGTTGACTGGACTGTTAGATGTTCTACGGGAATTAAATATGACACCTAACTGACCATCATGGTGGCTGCGGTTCTAAGCTTATAATTATCTCACATGTAGTTGTAACGAAGGACACAAAAAACTCGAGAAAACTAGTCAGGTTTCTTAATCAGTCGTGAATATATCGACTGGATCTACGCCCTTCGTTATGTCTTTGTACAGGTATACGTATTGATAACCGATATTAGTTCTCTATCCTAGAACTAATGATGAAATTCGCCTCTGTCGATCGATAAGTTTAATGCTAGTCTCTTAGTAAGTATATTACGTTAGTGAATTCTTTAAACACTAATACTTGTGACTGCTTTAAAACCTGCAATCGATTACTAGTAAATCTTTCCATAGTGAGTGGTGTTCTCTCACTTTTTAATTAACTTCATCGTCGATATCAATTTGTCGCTCATTCTCTTCTGAATTCATAGGGATTTAGCGAAGAACTAGTTAACAAGTTAACTTATGTTTTTAAGGTAGTATTCATCATGGACTGACATAATTTCGAGTACGGTCGAAAACCTAGGAGCATTGAACAGCCGTTTCGTCCTTAGTATGAACCCTCTTAGCAGTGCACACCCATATCTCAGCACGGATTGAACTCTGAACCTTAAGATTTTGTGACCAACACGTTACGCCTCAGCCACTGGGCTAGAATCCAACGGTCCATATTTTTCTACTTCTATATACTTGCGACATCTTTCGACCATCATCCAGTGTCATCGGCGAGTATTTGTTCTCACATCAGACCTGATGAACCACACAGATGATGACTTTTTATGATAACTTCGGGAAATCTATCTTGAAGAATATCACTAATGAGCAGTGGACAGTATTTCATATTGAAGGTTCGTGGGGACTGATCCATTCTAGATTAGAGATATGACGATTCAACTGATCTCAGTTGTTGATGCAGTCAATCAATCCCCACAAACCATCAAACTGAATTATTCCTGTTGATGTGAACTAAACGTGGCATTCATTATGAAGTCTTCAACCATTATTTTGTTGTTACTAGTAACTAAGGTTGACGTAAAATCAGTTATTCAACCCCAGTAATGACTTTATTGACGATAGTTTCTTCTAGTGTTTAATGTAGATATTTTAGTCTCATGTGATGTTTTAAATCATTCCATTCTTGCTGCTCACATATCTGAAGAGAATTTATGAACCTGCGTCAGCTTATTAAGATCCTTATATGATTGTCTCAATACTACCATCGGCTTACTTTTCATCCTATTTATCCAGTGGTGGATAATGAGTGCTAACAAACCTGAAAACTGATTGGAAATTTGTTTGTCATTTGTATTTAAAATAACTTCATGTTATCCTTGATTAATTCTGCGTATTCTCGACTAACCTGTCTTATGTCTTTATTTTGAAACACAGAAAATGTAGGGTTATGAGTTGTCTTTGCGTGTATTAGTCATCCGTTTCATGTAGGATCTGCTGAAGGTTGCAATTACAATTCATGATCTTCGGAATCAGGAGTGAAAACAAAGACTTGTCAGCTGTGTAGATCTATAGGTCAGTGGTATAGGGAGATGACTATCAGCCACCGAGTCACGGGTTCGAACCTTCCTCCTCACCTACTGAGGTTTGGTTAGCCAAAGATTAACACTACCCCTCACACAAGAGGTGTGGCTCATTGCCTATTACACGGATTTGCACAAGGTGGCAGAGTGTGATAAATTCAAATCATAATCACTCTGTTGAATCACATACTGACTTAATTGCAGGCTGCTTACACCAGAAGAAGTGCAATTGTTGAACTGTATTCAACATGGAGTCCGAAGAATACATCGTAGATAAGTTCAATCTACTAAATTCTCTCTTGTTTAATGGTATTAGCCCATAACTAGAATTAGGCTCATATCTGTTAGTTTTCCATAAAACATTCAGCTAAATATTCATTTTAAACTATAAAATTGCTGTCCCGGACCAATAATTTATGTTTTCTACCATTATTTTACATTTCTAAATGTAAAAACAATTTTAGGCCCTATTTTCGGAATCAACAGATATTCTGAGCATACTTTGTCTAGCTGGTTTAAGATGCTCTAATCAGTGTTTCCTATCATTGTCATCAACTGCTTGTTCTCCATCACTATCAACAACCTCATCGCCTGTATCCAACCTCTTAGATTCCAATAATGATTCTATAGCTGATAAAATCAACTTTGATACAAATTATATGCGTGGTAAACCTCCATCAGCACCGAGAATACGAACTACTGAAGTGAATGAAATAGATCCAATTCTGTTGAATAACAATAATTATGATAATGATAATAATGATCATATAAATAATCAAGCTGTAATTAGTAAGCTTTGTATAGACGCTTGTGGTTTTCTCTATCGTCTGTGGAAGTGTAGTTTTGAAACGCATCATCAAGCTGGTTTTCATCGTGTTCACTTACAGGTATGTAAATGCATGTTTTTATCTATGTGTGTACATCAATATGATTTCATCTTGCTCCATTCAAATAAATTTGTAGCATCACCTAGTGTCGCAGTCAATGACGTTACCATTGAACTTTTCTGGCCGCGACTAACCTTTGTCAACATGAATTGACCAATTCAATTTTGGATATAATGCTACACTAATAATTGATATCCACTGAATAGTTAGTGGCCACTGTAACTCATTGATGCTATGGAAAACACTTTAATTCTTGAGGCAATGACCACTGAGTTCGGGTCCCAGTGGGAACACCAACCTCGTTGCAAGAACGTGCAGTTAAAGAGTTCTAAATGAGATAAAACATATGTATATTTCAAATAAGTATTCAGTTTGAAAAATTCACGTTTGTAATGTTTGTCTCGATATCCCCGTATAGTCTACAAAAACCAAACTGAGATGTATGACGTGTTTATCTATGCGATATGTATGCGTCATAAGTCCATTCTTATGCTGAAGATATATAAACACGGCATACTGAGAAATCCTGGTAAAATCCTTATATCAGGAAGGATATGCGCTTGAATTCTGTACACGCATGCGAAACAGCTGTTTTTTTAATTTAAATCATTTTGACTTGGTCAATGGATTGAACAGATCAGCATGAATCGTTTTCAGTCACCTCCGTTTTCAGTGATGAATGTTTCGCTGACCAATGACACTTTAAACCACACTCTATGCCCTTGAATAATTAGGTGGTTTTCAGCGGAAATGCTATTGACACTATAGATTGAAAATAATATGACAGATGTCCAACTGTTTCTACTGAGAATATTCTCAGAACTATAGATAGTCATGCCTTAATAGTGGATATTGCTACGATTCTGTTAGATCATCGCCTTGAAACATAATAGTGAATAGATCACAAGAAAAGAAAATAGCATGGAGTTTGACTTCTGCTACTACTATATTGTGTTCTACTTTCACAAACATACGGAAGCAGTGCATATGACGCCCTTGGGAAATACAAGTAGAGTTATCATTCAACCGGTGTAATTTCATAATAGTTAATTTCATCAGTCCTCATCTATGCTCTTGCTGCAAGCCTACAGTTTATTCCTTGTCTAACTCGCCGGTAAGTTAAAACAACTCAATGCAAAAATAGGCGTGTATGTATTTCTGGAATTACTTGTCCTAATTTTGAATTTTCGCGCATGATTTAATATCCCAGTCCAGTAGGAATTTTGCTGAATATAAATCGATACAATCGTGAAAATTAGATCGTGAGTTTTTAAAATCCTTCCTGTTGTATCCACTTTTATCTGATTTAGTATTCTGTTTGCCTACTTATTTTACTTGTTCTCCAGACAATAATTGCTATATCGAAACTTGTCAGTGAAATTAGTCCTGGTTTTGAGGCAAGTCTAAGTCTATTGCACAGTTTAGCTCAGACTGATATGCATCGAAGTTCTGAGGTGATCATGACAAAGACAACAACTCCATCCTCAACAACGACGTCAACAACACCGACATCAACTGTACATACAAAAATTTGGACAGATTCAAATATTCGCCTATTTCTAGATGATATTGATGATTTAATTCGTCGAATATTAACTGTACTAACTGCTACCGCTGAAATGCGTAGGCATTGTGATGATCCTGAACGTATAGTCGACTTACAGTATGCACTAGCTAAATCATACAGTAGTAATCCAGCATTAAGACGGTAAGTTAGTTATATCTTAATAACTTAATAACGATTTCATTTTATCATCATGCTTAGTCTATGCATAGGCACATATGCAACTAGATGTTTCACAGAATTATGTCTAGATAACTTTCGTTATTACTGACGTCAGGTATCATTTCACCACCTGAATAAATTCACATCTTTCAGGGCGGTTATTGTGTATGATTTGTAATTTGTCAAACAGTTGTTGAGCATAGCCTGACTATGTTCGGTTGTGATCGACTAAGCAATCAACTTCGTGTATGAAGTAAAGGTTATTGATAGAGGCTACTTCTATTTTTTAGTTTATGTAACAATATTTTGAGTGGTGGACGATCATCAATGAAACTCGTACTTCCCGAAAAAATATAGGCGCAACAAATATGTTTACAGAATCGCCTTTCCATGACTCAGTTACCTCGTACCATTCTTTGTGTTTAGCTGTTGAGTTGGCTAGGTGTATTGCCAGGAAAACTTTACTTGATTACTTAAACATCATTAGGCTATTTTATAACCCACTATGTTCTAAGCTAGTAACTGAGTGATAATTCGCAAACCGTGAGACCTGGATGTCCTGGTTTCGATACCTCGTAGTAGTCTTAAAGGATCACTGAGTTGCAAACTGGTATGATACAGCCATCTAATCCTTCCACCTTTTTGATTGTTCTTTGGTTAGTGTAGATCTTTGTTGAAAGCACTATAAAACTGCTCCATTAGTTAAAGTTTAAGCATCTACACCATTTGGTCACAACTCGTCTGTACATACAGTTGGGCATTATCCGTGAAGTCGTGTTGAGTTTGCCATTAAGTACTGAAATTCCAAGTTTTAGTGCTTTTCTGTTATCTGGAAATGCTGTTTTGGTTTACTTGAAAGTGCATCCTACTTATAAACTAAACTTTGCGGGCAGTCTGGGGAACCTATGGTGCGCACCTGCACACATTTATAGAATTATTTCCCATTCTTATATTCTTTTTGGAGGTTTGAGATCTCACTCTGATTGTATTGAATGTAGCTATGATACGTTTATCTCCAGTACCGGATTACAACAGGGCATGCAAGAGTGTGGTATTTTTGCAACCGGTCATTTCTACCCCTCTCCTTGTAGAGTTATGGCTCATTGTTCTGATCACTCGATTTCCAACCCATGGATCCCTGCTTCGAAGCCCACTAAAGCTGCTGAGGTATGGACAGCCACACACACACTCATAGACAATAGGCACGAAGGTGTATGTGATTACCGAGTTCATTTCGACCCCTTGACTTTCCATCGAGAGAAACCATTATTACAGTGTTGTTCATCTGAGAAAAATATCTTACTGTTCTCACACCTCCATCCAACCAGCAGTATAACTACTTTTTGTTTTAACACCCTCCAACACACCTTTCCGATATGGTATGACCTTAAATTATAATTTTTCCAACCGCCGTAGCTTGTTTGGTCAGTTTGACATCCAAGTCTCATTGTCATGTAAAGGCAGCAAGCATCATTTGAGTTAAAGGCGGTTATTTTTTTAGGTTGGTAATTTCTTGTGTCCTGTGGTATTGTATTCAATGTATACAGCTGCATCACGTACGAATGGAGGTGAGTAAACTGACTGTAATTACTAGTCTTGACATTCTCCAATTAAAAATTTGGATGGAGAAACCTGTAATTCATCAGTGTGAGGTTTTTCAATTACTATATAATCTTAGTTGTGTTTTTAATTTACTGATGATGAAGAATTTCATCTGACAAGACGTAAATAGAAAATGAATCGTGTTTCTGCTAGTTGGGTGTTCCGTCTATTCTACATACCTTATAAGTAGTCGGGGTTTATTTGTGATACTATTTCCTTATCATTTTTTTCTCGTAATAAGTGAATACACTAACCATCTTGTAAATCAGTACGGTATAATTCACCAAGAAAAATTGATAATCTTTTCATGTAACTGCTTAAAAAACTGTCAAGGTAACAGTGCAGTTCAAACTAATCAGTGAAATGGAAGTAAATATCAATGGAAATATCTGTCTATAAAAGCAACTTATTACATTCTCATCCAAATTATAATTCTGATCCATAAAATGGAAATCAATAATGTTCCATTGATTCATTCATTAGCATATAAACCTTTGATCACCTGTTTCAGTTTGAGTTGATACAACCTTACAAGTAAGACAAGTGATAAATGCATCCTGCCAATCATCTACACTATATCCCTAAGCTAAGAGAACCTGCAAATCAGTCCTGAGGCTATCATCTTACAATAGACAGGCTAAAAACGCAGGCTAAACATACTCAGATTTATACTCAAGATGTTCAAAAGATCCTGCGTCTTCATTCAGTTTAACCAGATTCCCTCTTGTAAATTTGAAGGTGCCTAGCGTTATATCCCGTAGTTCATCTTAAACAAACAAAGTCAGAAAGTTATGTTAGTATGGAAATATTAACAGATATCTGAAATCTGTAAAATGCTAAATGCTGAAAATAATGTTGACCTAGTCTGGGTCATAATGAATAGATGTTTTACTGGCAAACGAGTACAATGGTCACAGTAGTATGCCATACATTTAAACATAGTAATCAAAGGGAAGCGATGATCGGTAGTCGATAAATCAAACTTCAAAGATAATGTTGAAGTGTATCTAAAATTACTGTGCGATAATCAGATTCCACCCTTCTTTCTTCTCAATGTTTGCCCACACCACAGAAACTTACTAGAGCTTGTTTCTTTCTCGATAATTAACTTCTCTAGTGATCGCTTTTTTTTTCTATGACAAAAATAATTTCTGTTTTTCGAATATCTGTTCAATAGTACCTGGTTGGAAGAGTTAGCTAAACTACATTTGGATTCAAGAAGTTTCACAGAATTCGCTATGACTAAGCTTCATATTGCTGCTTTAATGGCTGAGTATTTAAGACGTCGAGGTAATTCCATATACTTTATATGCATATAGTGTATAGTATTATTCAGTGTATTCGCTTTTTGTTTCGTGTATTCTGTAAACCATTTAATGTCCAATGGAATATATACACCCACGTACATGAGCATACACACACATACACATAAATAATCTTTATCCTTGAATTGTTATATAGAATGAATAGTGTTCATCTAGCTAATCACTGTTCCATTTGATTCCAGTAGGTTTAAAGTGGACTTGTTTCCTGTTTTTTCTAATATAATGTTATATTCTATAGTAGTTCGGTGACATTATACCGAGACCAAAGCTTTACGGGGTTTCATTATCACGAGCAGACAATAAACCGATATTAGCAAGAAAGTAGAACAATGACAACAAATGACCACAAGCCACCTACGCACAGCTCATTGAATATTCAGTAGTAGTGTTAAAAGATGGAGCTGTGGCTAAGTGGTCTATACACTCGAAGTCACTAGTTCTAAACCCGCTTCATCTATCGAAGTTTGAGGAGCCAGGTAGTATCATTAGTCTTCACGCACAATAGGTGGGTTTCACTGTCGACTACTGCACGAACGTACATTTGACTACAGAGTGGATTTCCCTCATTTAAGAGTGTTTAAAAAGTAAGGTAAGCATATATGTTTTTGAAGTACTAGTGACACTTTGTCTGTAACCCTCTGTGGATAAAAACACACTGGATAAGTCGTTGTCAGAATACGACTGATCAACGGATAGAACCATATACAAGTCGAACGCTTATAATTTTTTCAACATTGATTCTGTCAAATAATAAAACAAAGTTCGGACAAACCATTGGTAAGTTATATATGTACAGACAGGTTTATTCTGCTGTGTATGCTAGTTAACCAATCACGGTCAAGGTCATTCCACCTCTAATGCTTTTTATGGTTGGCTGTTCATATTAGTCAACACTTAGTCAGCAATCCACTGTGTTGCATTTAATTTCTTCCACTAAATTTCCTATGCTTTGTTAATAGTCTATGCGTATTTCGTTGTTCACATCTACTCTTAACTGATCAGTTAATTCCAGTCGAAACAATCTTGACGATAAGATGCACAAGGCAGTAGTAATATTGACCACAAATGTGTGAAAGATTTTATGTGGTGCAGGCTTAACTAAACAATTGTTGTTGTATTTTGTTACCAAGACCTTGCCCACAGCAAAATTTCATATTGAATAAACAACTGTTTAGCCAGTCAGGTGGTATTTAGCGGCTTATACTGAACAGTAGACTGTTTGGCCTATGTAGGCTTATGTTTAAGTCTCCTTTCAAATCTTGTCACCTTAACATAATGGGACCTGAACGAAAGGTGACTTTAAGGGCCACCCTAGCAACTGACGATACAGTCAATTCACACCTTAATTTTATAGGAAAGTACTTTCCCAAGATAATTACCTAAGTTGGAAGACTTTAAAGGCCACCCCAGCAACTGTTGGAGCGACCAATCAGGTTTCGGTATTTCGCCTAGGAAGTTAGATTTTCATAAAATACGGAGCCATTAATTGGATCGTCTTAGCAGTTGCTAAGGTGGCCTTTAAAATCACTCTCGGTTTTTCGGGCTACTTTCAAGGGCTACCCTAACAACTGCTGAAATAGCCAATCAGTTTGCGGTATTTTGGCTGAGACGACGATTTTTCGAAGAATACAGAAACGTAAGTGGTTGTTTCATTAGTGGTCACTCGAAATAACCGATTAAGTTTCTTCATTTCTGCTTGAAGGGCAGATTTTCACAAAACAGAGGAGTCTGATTGCTCATTTCTTTATTCAATGAAAAAAAATACCTTTCTAGCCGGAATACCGAAACCTTATTAGTTATTCCAGTAGTTGGTAGGGTGGCCTTTAAAATCGCTCGGAAAGTGGGTGACTTAAAGACAACTCCTGCAACTAATTGCGTATCTGTTTTTTTTATGAAAAAACTCTTTTTCTAGCCGAAAGAATGTTATGTGATTGGTTATTTCACTAGTTGCTAGGGTGGTCTTTAAAGTCGTCCTGAAAAATCGAGTGACTTTGAAGAGTGTCTTTAGAGATTACCCTGGCAACAATTGAAATAACCGATCAGATTTCAGTATTCCAGCTGGGATGATAGTTTTTTCTTCATAAAATAGAGGAATGTAATTGGTTATGTCAACAGTTGTTAGAGTGCCCTTTAAAGTCACCTCCTAAATAACCAGGACTGCATACTGGACGACTCCGAGTTCAGTTACCTATTATAGTCTTACTGTGTAAGAATGCTTATCACCATTTACAAAATACTTCTTTTCATCGACATTTTCTCCTACGTGATGATTACGCAGTTCGTCGAATAATATAATCAATTGCGACAGTTTATGGGTCGAGTTTAAAGGCCACCCTAGCAACGATAAAAATAACTCACTAGGTTTCTTCATTTCGGCTGTAAAAGCAGATTTTTATAAAATATAGAAATTGAATTGGTTATTTCAGTTGTTGCTAGAGTGGCCTTTAAAGTCACTCCAGTTTATGATAATCATGGGAGTTGGTTAAACCTAAAGCCAAGACAATAGCCTTAGTGAAATGTTCTCCTCTCCGTCTACTGTCAAAAGATTTTCATTTTTAAGGCCAAGAAGTTCTTAAATTATAAAAGTCACAACATTTCCAGGAGCTTTTTTGAATGGTTGTACTCATTATGGTGAAAACAATTGTTGTGGTGAGCATGATTTTTTACAAAATTACTAGGTGAAATCTTTTGAATGTGGAATATATATTCCAGCTTTTCAATATAAGCTTGCTGAAATTCTTATCCAAAATTGGCTCATTATTCAGTTGACCGTTTTTAGCGCCTGTTCTTGAACTTAGGTGTGATCTACGTATATCCCTCTAGTCCCTAAGGCTGGTAGTTCTGTAGAGAGAAGCTCTACAAGTATTCCAAGGTGGAATACATTGAGGCTATTAAACCAAGCAATTAGTTGCTTTACAGAAGTCGGTCTTAACTTCTCGGTACGAATATATCACCCAGTTTCTTACTATGTATTCCTCTTTATACCTTGTTTATCATAATCTTTGTCTCTAGCTTTTAATATTCTACATAGATTCAGTAAAACTGAATTGTATGTTTTTAATTACACAGTGAAGAATACTTTTCCACATAATGATGCACTGATGAGAGATTCTGTCCGTCAGGTACATTTGTATGCAATAGAAGAAATATCTAAGAGCTAAACCGACACATGTTCATGATATATAAAACATTTGACTGTGGATCTTAATCATGTGATAAAGTGTAAATCTTTCACTAGCCTCATTAACGTGTTAGAAATCAGACCGTAGGTTATACGATCATTTATGTGAAGGTTAATGGTCTTACATCACTGATATCTGCGAAGTTGTATCTGTCACTTGCTGAGATCACAATATAAACAGTGCTGATCTAAGACATACAGAGTTGTACAACATAAGTGAATTGTTTGACAGGGTTGTAAATATTTATCGCTTATGGAGGCGAAAAAATGTGCTACGAACCCCTAGTTGTCACCTGACTCAGCTTGTCATTATCGACTTTGATACAATAAAACTGGATAGAAGGTTCCAGCATCATCATCAACATACAGCGATACCGTTTCTTCGTTTGATTATTATCTTTGATTCTAGTGCTTGATCATATTGGGACCTGTAGTCTATTCGGTTTGAGTTCACACGAAGCTCAAAGTTGATAATCGTTAGAAACTTTAGAAGATATGGTGTGGAATCCATCCTAATCATGCACATGCACCTAATTCTTATCTCTGTCCAAGTCGCGAACATCTTTTTATTGTCGTATACGTTTTGTTCAACATCATTCAGTTACTTTCTTCGTCTTATCTTTCACTTGAACTTCCGCTTGTTAGTATTCTATCAGGTGGAAAATGTGAAGTCTGACAACTTGAAATAATGAACCTTTCTATGGGATTCTATATTTTCCACTATGTTACTATGGTCTAAAATACTTTTTGCATTAAACAACTAAATATTTATGTGTCTACTACGTAAGTACAGCTTTCCCTTCTTGATATCTTGTATTGTTTGACAAACATTGAATATCGTTTCATTGCTTGTATTATACCGTCGTTGATTGGGCCGAATTGATCGGTCTCTATGGGCATATGGGCTCCTGTGCGGATGCCTCGATATTGCCTTTGTCTTTATAATATATATTAGTGATGGATATATATATATATATATATATATATATATATATATATATATATATATATATATATATATATATAATTAAAACAGGCAATATCGAGGCATCCGCGCAGGAGCTCATATGCCAATAGAGACTGATCAATTCGGTCCAATGAATGACGGCATAATCCAAGCAATAACATTGAAACTATGCCCGTGGCACAAGAAGTGGCTACCGTATCTCAGTGGTCTGATGGATAACGCTTTGGCGTTTGAAGTGATTGACTCCGAGCTCGAGTCCCGGTGGAGGCAGCATCACTTACTGTGGTGATAGTGGTACATCCGGCTGACGAGTCCCAAATAGGACAAAGTGCACGTCTTGGATTCCACTTTTGGCCACTATCCACCAATAATATAGAAAATTGAATATATAACACGTCTTTTTTTACTAACTATTTTCGACAGCTTATATATGACTAAGATTTGTGTACAAATGAGGATGTATTATCGATCGTTTTGTTACATAATCACCAGACAAAGACGTTCCAACTTGTGGAAACTATCTCATGATAAGCAACTATTTGTGATGTGGTATAAGATTTGGAATGCATTCTGTGTAATGTCATCTAAAGCCAGTTGAATAGGTTTTGTGAATAAATACATCTACACATACATACATGCATACACACACACACATACACACACAGATGCACACAATTTCAATTGTCTGCACATTCTCATTTTCGTCAGTTGTTTTTGTCGTGTTGATGAACTGTTTTTCGTCTAATCGTTAAGATCGTCTTTTCTTCTTTTCACTCTATATTTGTACAATAGATTTTGGCATTTATTATAGTTTTCTTTATATTTGTGTATGCACCAATAATACATACATTTTTTTAATTTTTCCAGGCATTTTAGATCGTGAGTTTTTGTTTGTCTATTAGTTTGTGTGTTTTGCGTAGGTGTGTGTGTGTGTGTATGTATGTCTTTAAGTGAATGAGTAACCGCCTATTTACCTTTCTGCTTGTGGTTTTGCATTTTGTAATGAATGAACTACTCGGTTCTCTTTTCACTAACTATAATATGCTTTATTTTTATTGTATGAAATAGTAAAGGTAGATACACATGCACTTACACATTCCGTTTTACTTATCTTTCTGACAAATTTCTCTTGCTACATCCTGCTGCTAAATATTGTTAAATTATAATCTTATTATAGGGATAACGGTGCTTCTTTTACCTTATTTTGCAGTGTTATGGTTAATATCACTTTATGAATACTTGTATACTAACATAGGTTTTGTATACGCATAGTCTAATCATGATTTTTTTCAAATATAACAAACTCTTAGTTAAATCAAAATGAACTAACAAATAGGAGGAGGGCTCAAGCGATGGCTTTTCAAATTACCATAGTCTTGTATATCACTTGAATTCGTGTGTTCGTGTATGGAATGCCTTTTGTGAAGAGATATCCGACAGGAAAGGTTTTGTGTTTATATTTCCAGATAGTGTTTACATAAGAGTTTTGATATATTGGTAAACGACTTCTTCAAACAGGTTTTTTTTTTCCCACAAACAAGCGACATTTGTGTTTTGGAATTATCACATTGATCACATGAAACTAGCTTAGTCCTTATCACATCACACTAGAAACGAAAGAAGCGTGAGTGATTGGCAATCCCCGCTGCCCACATCGTGGAAATTATTTCTGCAGAGTATATGAAAGCGGAGAGGATTTGTGTAACTGAAAAGCCTATGAGACATCTGTTTTCACACCGCGTTTGTAGGATTGTTGGTATGCGATTTGATTGTTCTGACGCCGGAGGGAGGAAACCCATACAATGGGCATCGGCAGACCGCGGTAGAGCGTGCTGTTTTTGGGACCAACCTTTTCTAACCCTCCCCCTTCCCATCGGGAAGGTAGCGTCAGCATGCTACTGCTTATTATCCAAGGGAAACACCTTACTGCTGCTACACCCCATCTAGCCAGTAGTACAACTTTGCCCTCGGACCTCGTCGTCTCATATTAGGGCTGATTAGTAAGCCACGATGAGTATGAGCGTTGCATTTGGGTTTAGAAGGAGGAAGTAACTCACCAGTGAGATGAACTACTTCGATTATATGATAATCGCTGCTGGTTATATGGTGAAATGTGATGGTGAATGTAAAGAAAAATAAGAATTCTAAGCTTTGAGGAATGTAATGTGTGAGGAGATCTGAATGAAAAGATTTTTGAAGGTAAACATGTTCTTATAGGTCATGTCCATTATTACTATTAATTGTTATGGCTTTCTCAATTTGAAGAGATTTTAGGTGTACACCTTTCATGAGATTTCCATGAACTCTATAGATGACACTGAAGTTGTTTTCTGCATTTACCGGTTTATATTGTGTAGAGGTTTAGAAGTCAATGGTTTAGAGTTTTAGGACTTTCCATATTTCTTGACTTGAATGCAGCATTAGACTATCGACTGAGAGATGTTGTGACCATGAGGTGTTTGCCGAGAAAGTGTGTAATGCTAATCTAGGATTACTACTGAAACACATGCAGCCGTGTAATTGCTTACAGAGTGTTTTCATCTGAAGTCACAACAATCATTGATGTCCTTCAAGAGTGTCTGCTATCAGTATTTCTGTCTAACTCTGTTATAGATGGGCTGTTCCATATAACCATATATACTCTTAGGAAGGGTAGCTAGTTGACTTGGAGTACGCAAACCAATCAATGACTCTTATGTACACCTTGAACAGAAATCTTAGTATGCTTAGCATGCATTGGTCTGTACGAATTTCTGTTTTAGTGACAAGAAATAAAGTAACAGAATACATCGATTCCTTTAACTTACTTTGAAAGTTGTATCAATCGAAATGTGTTATTTGCTGACGAAATCACAAGTCAGATGTAAAACTTCTCTTCGTGAGCTGTAAACCTTTTTCATCATAAAAAGCGTATCTTACATTTACCAGTTAGTACCATCTATGGCACCGTTGAGATATCTGACTACTTAATACAGGATAAGTTTACTAAGCTGTAGTTCGCTCCGTCGTTTTATGCCTCCGTGGATCTTGATCAATGAAAAATGATTATACTGAGAAGTTACAGATTTTCCACCAGAATCGTTTATATGTGGTGGACTAAGCATGTGAGTAATGTTGAGTTTAGTCGTAGAGTATTAAGCCACACAGTCAAGTCAGTCTACGTGGTTGTGAATATTAACGGACTGAGGTGGCTTGGACACGTGTTGCCTATGCCGAGCCACCGCTTACCCTGGCGTATGATAGTTGCCGAAGTTGAATTCATTGTAAGAATATATTTTAATATAAATCCCAGTGTGTTTAGGAAATCACAACAAGATATTTCTGAACGTTTCTCTGTGTTAAGCATCTACATCAAAATAAGAAGCTATCACTTACGCAGTGAAACATCCAGAAACATCTTATTTTTGTTTTATAAACACGTTAAAATTATATAAAAATATATTCTAATAATGATTCAATCAGATTCGGCGCTCATCTTCTTCCAGAACATTTGTAACAACTATGGTCTGGATGTTTATAATCTGACGAAGTTGAATTCAGTTTGAAGAAGACTTAAAGTGATCAGACCAAGACTTGGCACTGTTCTACAAAATCTCTGAGTATTGGTCTGAGTCTTGTTGTGAGGTTTAGACTGATTGGTTGGGGCCCTCGAGACGATAAGAATCACTGGGTGAAGTTCCTTAATGAACTAGCTAATAATTGTGAATACTGATGCAGATGTATTCACCCTTTGACACTTAAAGCTTAAGCAGTATTACTAACCTTCGATTTTTTAGTATCACTCCACTCATACTTTGACGTCACTTTTCTTCTTTCTTCTTTGCTTGCTGCTATAAAGTGTTCCAACCTGAACCGATGAACTTCTGTGCCAGGTTCTAAGTTGATTTCTCTTTCTCTCTCTCTGTAGTGTTTAGTAATGATGCCTCATCTTTCATTTCTTAATTTATTATGACTAATCAACTGTACACCAAATGCAGCTTATTCAAAATCATTTAGGGCAGTCAGCCAGTATCTACATTGAACCTAGGAATACTGAGTAAAGATTCAAGTTACCACATCAGCTCATCAAGATACAAAGCAACAAGTTTGAAGATGGAGAAATTGGTAACAGTGTAATTCAATGTTATAAAAGTCATAAGGGTGGGGAGGTATTACGACTAACATGTAAAGTAAAAGTAGTTTAAAAATCCCCATTAATTCATAACATAAAAGACATGTAGCGAATAGTCACTCTTTTAAGCGATATCATTCTCAAGCTGTACAATCGTATATAAATATTCTGTTCACATGGAGTAACAGAAAAGAAATGTTTCGTAAAGCATTTTGAATGAAGTTCAGATTTAATTATAAACGTAATTTTTTCAAAAATGTTTTGATTGAAAACCAGTAACCTGAATGTCCCATTCCTAAAACTATGAAACTGAAAGTAAATAATCACTACCCATCTGCAGCTCCTAAGAAGCCTCTTTTCATGAACTTACAGTTCAACGGAGACACATCAGCAGATATATTCAGAAACCATGTGATATGTTGATTAAGAAAGACTTTCTATGCTACCAAACTCAGATTAACTTTCTTTACTTACCCAATGCTTTGATTATGCGTAAAGCATAAGCTAACTCCCTTGGCCACCTGCTCCTGTTGAGTTAGATATATTGGTCGCACTCAACATTCGATTTCCGAAAGCATTTCTGAACATATACCAGCCTGGTTTTTCAAAGGAGAAAGGAGAATAATTCGCATCTCCATTTTAGAACATTTGATCGGTTATGACCACCCGGTAAATGTAGAAAACAACTTCAGTGTCATCTATAGAGTTCATGGAAATCTCATGAAAGGTGTACACCTAAAATCTCTTCAAATTGAGAAAGCCATAACAATTAATAATAATAATGGATATGACCTATAAGAATATGTTTACCTTCAAAAATCTTTTCATTCAGATCTCCTCACATATTACATTCCTCAACGCTTAGAATTCTTATTTTTCTTTACATTTACCATCCTATTTCACCATATTTACATAATGTAACTTAGTAACTAAATATTACTTCGGTCCTGATAAGTTCTCTTTTCATTACTGTTTCAAACATTACGTGATCATTTTGCCGATCTCTTGATTTATAATCAAATCTGAACTTCGTTTAAAATATGTCATGAAACATTTCTTTTGAATCTTTAGTTTGTGGAGATTTAGTGATTTCTCAAGTTGGTATTCATCATGGACCCACATCAGTTGAAGGAACATTGGACAGCTGCTTCGTCCTACTTCGAGACTCCTTAGAAGTGAACAACCATGGCCCCAGGCTTCAGGAATTGAACCCAGGACAGTCAGGTTCCGAGGCCAGCACGTTACCATTGATCCACCGGGTCGGAATCCAGTGGTCCTTATTTCCCACTTCTGTCAGTTCACGATATAGTGCGACCATCATCCAATATCATCTTTGAGTATTTGTCCTCACGGCCACTAGGTTTGTCTCACCGGTCACGACTTCTCATTGGAACTTCAGGAATCACCCCTCGAAGCTAGTCACTCAGTGGATCGATGGTAATATACTGGCCGTGGAACCTGAAGGTCCTGGGTTTGATCCCTGGGGCCCTGGGTCATGGGTGTGCACTGCTAAGGAGTCTCAAACTAGGATGAAGCAATTGTCCAATGTTCCTCCAACTGATGTTGGTCCATAATGAATACCAACCTGAGAAAAGCACATTTCTTTTCTGTTACTCCATGTGAATAGAATATTCATATGCGGTTGTACAGCTTGAGAATGATATCACTTAAAAGAGTGACTCTTCGCTAAATGTCTTTTTTTAAGTAAAAGTGTGAATACGCTTACACCATTATGATTGATTCGGAAGTATCATCGATTTTACTTATC